AGGGCCTGCAAAACGGAGCTGTTCCGCCAGGCCTTTGGCTGAGGCAGTGGGCATCTACCGGCTGGCCTCCCTAATTGCTGCTGCATGAGACCACGATGGCGCGAAGTTGGCCCACTCATTTCCCAGCCGTAGGAACCGGAAGGGAATATACTGCACTGCCCTCTGTGAATGTTTTTAAACTGGTTTTATTGTATTGCGTTGATTTAAGATTTATTTATTTATTTATTGTTTAATTTATATCCCACCCTCCCTTCCAAGGCAGGCTCAGGGCGGCTTACATCGCATTTATTGTACAGATAAAATGGAAAATCACATAACATCACAAGACAATTTCACATGATTATCATGGACCCAAAGGGTCTTGTATTGTATTTTCTCACAATACAAGAACTCGTGGGCACTCCATGAAACTGCTGAGCGGTCGGGTTAGAATGGATAAAAGGAAGTACTTCTTCACCCAAAGAGTGATTAACACATGGAATTCCCTGCCACAGGAAGTGGTGGCGGCTACAAGCATGGACGGCTTCAAAAGGGAATCAGATAACCATATGGAGCAGAGGTCCATCAGTGGCTATTAGCCACAAGGTATAGATAGGGGCTCTGGGGCAGGTGATGTTCTGTCTTCTTGGTGCTTGGGGGGGGTCAACAGCGGGAGGGCTTCTAGTGTCCTGGCCCCACTGGTGGACCTCCTGATGGCACCTGGTATTTCTGGCCACTGTGTGACACAGAGTGTTGGACTGGATGGGCCTTTGGCCTGATCCAACATTGGTCCAACTCTTATGTTCTTAAATACAGTTAAAACGATAAAAATGTAGCTAAAAACTTTACATAACACGCTAGCACGAATCACGGGCATTGGTAGCATCTGATATAGACATACAGTCCCACAGCCATCGTCTGGGTCAAACTGGTAAGACACCGGTTGTTAATGCTGATGTTATTGTTGGGGCCGGGGCCTCAGTTTGTTAGGTGCGGGCGTGCGGCTCACTAATCCTGCTATTTATGGTCTGACTGAATTATTTTTAGATTGTACTGAATGTATTGTTGAGACCTCCCCAGTGATCCTCCCCCCCAAAAAAATACCCGAGCTGGCTGCATGGTGGCTCTTTGCCTTTCAGCACACAGATGGCGGCGGCAGCGGAGGTATCCAGGGCGTCTTTCCACTCCGGCCTGGGAGGGAGAGAAAGAAAGAGGGAGGGGAAACCCCTTTTTTTTGCTCCACACACATTTTCTGAGCCAGTCCCTGGAGTGAACCTTTCTTCAGATTGGATTCAGGGCACAATGTCAAGAGACTGGATTTGACCCATCGAGGCTCGGGAGCATTTGGCTCCACATTCTCTCCCCTCAACCGGTCACTCCATACGGGAGGTGGCCCAGCTTTCCTTATGCAACTGTACCCCTCTCCTGCCCTCCAAATGCTTCCTCGCACATTCTGCCAACCCATTCCTGGGAGATGAATCCCTTTATCATCCTGAAGCCACACTCCTCCCCCCCCCCCTCCAAGGGAAGTCAAGATCATGCTGCCGCCCCCCCCCCCCCCCTTTTTGTGTGCGGGGAATGAGGTGCGAGAGCCCCATGAGATGGGATGGGGTGCCTGCCTCGAGGAGGCAGGTGAGAGACGCCAGCTTGGAATTAATTTCTCCCTGCACGAAGAAAACCAGCAGGGGAAAAGCTTCTGGCACTCTCTGTCTGAACTGGCCATGATGCTTTTTCTGTAGCGGGGAGACTGCAGCAGAGGGAAGCTTCCCAACACGTGTTCCTCCGCCTGCGGTCTAAAGTGAAGCTGCCTTGAATCCATGCGTGGACAAAGCACTCCTTCCTAAATGTGCCTGTGGAACGGGAAGCCACTTGAACTTCCTCCGATCTCCAAAGATGCCACATTCGAATCCTGCACTCAAGTCCGCTGCAGGAACCGCGTGGCTCTGCACAAAGGGGACAAGCAGCTCTTGGCGGAGCAGGAGCGGGGGGCAAGGAAGAAATTGGGTGGCGAGTGCGCTCTTTCACCCCCTGCTGCGTCCCCCCCTCCTTTCTCTCTGCTTTGGGCCTTGCACCGCAGCCCCCAACCCATTTTATCCCCCTCCAAAGCCTCTTTGAACTCACCAGCTTCCCGCCGAGCTTCGAGCAAAAGCCCACCCAATTCAGAGGCGCTTTCTTGCAAGGGGCGGAGGAGGAAATGGCGCCCCGCCCACATGCAGGGCCCCTCCCCCCCCTTGTGCCTCTCTAGGACTGCATCTCTCTCGCTCTCTCACCCTTCAAGACAGTACGGCTCATTTTGTAAAAGAAAAAAAAAAAGGAAAAATGGCATACATAAGGCCAGTGTTCCCTCTAAGCTGAGTTAGTGTGAGCTAGCTCACAGTTTGTTAGCCTCCAGCTCACAGATTTTTTGTCTTAGCTCAGGAAAGAAGGCTCCAGAGCAAACTAATTTATGCAGGAGCCAGATCGCTCGCTCACCACTTTAATGCCAGCAGCTCACAGAGTAGATTATTATTATTTTTTGCTCGCAAGACTCCACAGCTTAGAGCAGTGGTGGCGAACCAGACCATCATTAAGGTGTCGAATTCTCTGCCAAATAATTTTAAGTAGATGAAAGCATTTGGGATTGCTTTCCTTACTTTCTTTGGATCATCTTAAGTTAATGTATGAGTTGTTTTTTCTAAAGCAAAACCGCAGTATTCAGGTTAAATTGCCATGTTGGCACTTTGCGATAATTAAGTGGGTTTTGGGTCGCAGTTTGGGCACTCGGTCTCTAAAAGGTTTGCCATCACTGGCTTAGAGGGAGCGTTGGTAAGGACTGTAAGGTTTCCTCCAGTTCTCCTCTCAGGAATCCGGACCCCCTCCTAGAGTGCGCTGCCACACCACACTGGTGAAGAGTGCCCCCAAACAATCCCTGTTTAGAGAGCATTTCAACCCTTCAAGGGACCCAGGAGGAAAATGCATGAAGAGTGTCTGAGAAAAGGACAAATAAATGAAATAAACGATGATATCCCTCTGCAAAGGGTCGGGCCTATTTTGTGTGTGCGTGTTTGAGAGCAAATGCCTGGAAGTCATGGCAACCCCCCTGGTGACTCCTACTGGGGCACGGAGGACATTCCGAGAAGAGGCTTGACCACCTGCCTCTGGCCTCCCGGCCCTGATAGTCTCTGCAGGTCTCCCATCTGCCAGGGTCGGCCCTGTTCAGCTTCCAAGATCTGATGAGATCGGGCTTGCCGGGGCTATCCAGGTCAGGTCATGCCTATTTTAAAGGGATGAATATTTTTTAAAAAGCTTTGACACTCATAGGGGGTTTGCCTCCTTTTAGGGATGCCAGCCTCCAGGCGGGACCTGGGGATCCCCGGGAATGACAGCTCATCCCCAGACTGCAGAGGTCAGTTCCCCTGGAGAAAATGGAGGCTTTGGAGGGTGGACTCTATGGTATTGTACCCTACGGAGCTCCCTGTCCTCCCCAGGTTCTGTCCTCAAATCTCCAGGTGTTTCCCAACCAGGATCTGGCAACCCTACATAACTGTAGCCTGTGAGCAGCCTTGCCAATCATGTTAATAAAATGGCAGGTCTCGGCTTTCTTTTTTGGATTCCTTTGTCCTTTTTGAACATTGGCTTTGCATTTCTATCAAAAGCGCCCCGAAGACTTCCGACACCAAAGGAAAGGAAACAATCCTTGAGAGCAAATTGAAAGCACATGTTGAAAAAATTAAAAAGCCAGTTTGGTGTCGTGGTTAAGAGCGCGGACTCTAATCTGGGAGAACCGGGTTTGATTCCCCACTCCTCCACTTGCAGCTGCTGGTGTGACCTTGGGTCAGTCACAAGTTCTCTCAGAGGTGTTCTCTCACGAGCAGTACTTAAAAGAGCTCTCTCAGCCCCACCTACTTCACAGAGTGTCTGTTGTGGGGAGAGGAAGGGAAAGGAGTTTGTAAGCCGCTCTGAGACTCCTTCGGGTACTGAAGGGCAGGGTATAAATCCAGTCTCTTCTTCTTCTTCTTCTGGTAAGGGTTTTTCACATCACCTGACCTCTTTGTAACTGGAGATGCCAATTAATCCTGTGAGCTCTACTGCATAACAGCCCTCTGAGGTCCTTTCCTTCCCCATACTCTGTCCTCCCCCATCTCCACCCCAAATCTCCAGGCATTTCCCAACCTGGAGCTGACAGCCCTCCTACCTATCTCATTGGATTCACCAGGGCAAGAATGCAAAGCTTTTCTTTTAAGTTTCTAGTAGACATCAGGGTTGTAACACCACCCTTAAAAATGCCTCCTGAAATCCCAGAAGCTGGAGGGGATTTCAAAAGAGGCTGCCTTCCAGAGGGGACCGACTCTTTGCTGCAGCCCTTGAGTGAAAGGCTTTTCAGTGTGATGAAGGAGAAGAGGAGGAGGAGGAAATTGGATTTCTACCCCGCCCTTCACTTGGAGTCTCTGAGCGGCTTACAATCTCCTTTCCCTTCCCCTCCCCACAACAGATACCCTGTGAGGTAGATGGGGCTGAGAGAGCTCTGAGAGGAGGAGGAGGAGGAGGAGATTGAATTTACTTACATTGATAGGTCTGGAAGGTTCTCCAGGAATGGACAGATTATCATTTTGGTAAGTAAACAAAACAAAACAGGAGTCCAGTAGCAGCACAGTTTATTCCAGTATAAGCTTTTTATGTTTTCAAAAACACTTTATTTTTATAATACGATTCTGCTTTTTCAAAGAAAAACACTGGGCTACTTCTACAAGAAAAGTTCTAATACGATTCTTACCAACACTGAACTCTAAACTGTGTCAATAGGTTTATTACAGGATAACTACAGACCCTTCATGTTAATTTCATGGAAGTCGCGTTCTGATTAGTGACACTACAGACTCTACATTTGGTATTTGGGGATGCTTTCTAAATTATCCCTTCAGATGAAACACTGCATTTTCCCCACTCTCTGAGGTGCAAAGAACTATTATGGAAACTTCCTATATTAACTGAACTTTTTGTACAGTTATTCACAAGTGTGTGCTCTTTGATGTGAAACAAGCTGTGCACGCCATCGAAAGCATTTCCCACACTCTGTGCATTCAAAAGGTTTCTCCCCTGTATGAATTATTTGATGAGATGTAAGGCCTCCACTCTGACTGAAGCTTTTCCCACACTCCAAGCATTTAAATGGTTTTTCCCCAGTGTGATTTCTTCGATGTAAAGTAAGAAGATCACCCCGGCAGAAACTTTTCCCACATTCTGAACATTTGTACGGTTTCTCCCCAGTGTGTATTCTTTGATGGGAAGTTAGGCTTGTGCTCATACTGAAGCTCTTTCCACAGTCTGTGCATTTATATGGTTTCTCCCCAGTGTGAATTCTCTGATGTTTCTTAAGGCTGGATTTCTCACCAAAGCTTTTCCCACATTCAGTGCACTGGTACGGTTTCTCCCCAGTGTGAACTCGTTTATGTGAAGTAAGGCTGGTGCTTGCTCTGAAGCTTTTCCCACACTCCAGGCATTGATACGGTTTCTCCCCAGTGTGAATTCTCTGATGGGAAGTAAGGCTTGTACTTGCACGGAAGCTCTTTCCACAGACTACACATTTGTATGGCTTCTCTCCTGTGTGAACCCTTTGATGTTTCTTAAGGCTTGATTTGTCACAAAAGTTCCTACTACACTCTGAGCATTTATATGGTTTCTCTCCTGTGTGAGTTCTCTGATGTTTCTTAAGGCTTGATTTTTCACAAAAGCCCTTGTTACAATCTGAACATTTGTAAGGTTTCTCTCCAGTGTGGATTCTTTGATGGGAAGTGAGGTGTGTACTCCACTTGAACGTCTTTCCACACTCCGAGCATTTAAATGGTTTCTCTCCTGTGTGGATTCTTCGATGTGATTTAACCTGCGAAGTCTGACTAAAACTCTTTCCACACTCCATGCATTTAAAAGGCTTCTCCCCTATGTGAGTTCTCTGATGACTCTTGTAGCTTAATTTGTCACAAAATCTCTTTCCACACTTTAAGCATGTAAACAGTTTATCTCCTCTGTGAATTCTTTGATGCAAAGTAAGGAGATCACCCCGACGGAAGCACTTTCCACACTCCAAACATTTAAAGGGTTTCTCCCCTGTGTGAATTCTTTGATGAGAAGTAAGGCTTGTTCTCATGCTGAAGTTTTTTCCACACTCCGAACATTTGTATGGTTTCTCTCCTGTATGGAATCTTCTATGTGTAGTGAGGTAAGCACTATTACTGAAACTCTTTCCACATATTGAACATGTATATGGTTTCTCCCCTGTATGAATCCTTTGGTGTCGTATTAGTTTTGTGCTCTCATAGAAGCTCTTCTCACACTCAGAGCATTTAAATCGTTTCTCCCCTGTGTGGGTTTTCCAGTGAGCATAAAGGCCTGCCCTGTGTGCAAAGGTTTTACCACACACAGCACAGTTGCTCCTTTCCTGCCCTTTATCTGTTTTCTCTTGGGCTGGGATGTCTTTGGAGTCAACATGTTGAGAAACAAGCAATTCATTCTTCTTCTGTACTCCTTGAGCTTTCTTTGTCCACTGAGGTTCTTCTTTACCTCTGAACATTTCTGGAGACACCCCAGAGAGCTCTCCCACATTCTTGTTCTCACCTGCTAGAATAAAGACAGAAAACTAGTAAGACTCCAAAAGAGGAACGAAGCATGAAAGCAAGGAAGAGGCCTAATCAGCTGGCATGTTCAGTTTCAGAGTAGGAAAGATTTGGAAGCATATTCTGTTGCATACCAAATAGGCTTTATTGACTAGTAGGAATGGGCAACCTGTGCGGTGCACAGTGCCGACTGGACTGGTGAGTCCATGGTTCGGTGGTAGAGCTTTTGCGTGCAAAAGGTTCCAAGTTCAATTGCTGGCATCTCCAGTTAAAAAAGGATCAGATAGGATGTGAAATAAAACCCAAAACACACTTGGGGCCCTGGAGAGCAGCTGCCAGTCAGAGTTGATAATAATGATGATGATAATGATTATTATTATTGTATGGCAGAGTGTAAGGATAGCCAGGAGATCCTCAGATTGTCTGGCAGCCAGAAATTCTAGCTCTTTTTAGCACTAAGCCCCACAAGGTAGCAAGCTAGACTTGTTTTTAAGAGTATAGAAAATAGTCAATGACAACCGTGATATATTTACGAAGGGAATATCACTCTTTTTTAAAGCCCTTTTAGTGTTATGCACAACTAGGTAGAGAGCTAGACTTGTTTTTAAGGCAAGAGACATTTCAGAGGTGGTTTGCCATTGTCTGCCTCTGCGTCATGACCCTGGTATTCCTTGGAGGTCACCCATCCAAATACTAGCCAGGGCCGACCCTGCTGAGCTTCTGAGATCTGATGGGATCAGGCATGAGCTATCCAGATCAGGGCTTGTCAGAATGGATGACTGACCTTGATAGACTTGTGTAAGGCAGTTTCACGTGTATATGGAGAGCCAGATCCATCTCCCAGGCTCTAAGAAGGCAAACAAGAAGCAGAGGTGGCTTACCATTGCTCTCCCCCTACAGAGTCTTTCTTGGTGGTCTCTCATCTACGTCCTAATCCTACTTATCTGACGAGATCAAGCTAAACGATACCATTCCACATTCCTAAGCTTATTGAACATACATAAGAACATAAGAGACACCAATGTTGTATCAGGCCAAAGGCCCATCCAGTCCAACACTCTGTATCACACAGTGGCCAGAAATACCAGGTGCCATCAGGAGGTCCACCAGTGGGGCCAGGACATTAGAAGCCCTCCCACTGTTGACCCCCCCCCCCAAGCACCAATAAGACAGAGCATCACTTGCCCCAGAGCCCCTATCATTTATACTCTGTCTCTCCTCCAGTGGGGCCCCAAGGCAGCTACCACATTCTCCTCTTCTCCATTTTAACCTCACAACCACCACCACCCTGTTAGGCTGAGAGGAGTGACTATCCAATGTCACCTAACAGTTTCCACGGCAGAGTGGGGATTCCCGCCTGGATCCCCCCAATCTTAGTCCCACATTATTAACCACTACATTATCGACTGTTTGTCAAGTGTGGCATTTGTCAAGTCTAACCTACCTCATAGGGTTGTTGTAAGGATATCTGGAGAATATGTTTTTGCGTGTGGCTCTTTAAATCCTTGCAGGCCAGGTGGGGACCAATGAACATGTAAAGAAGACTCTCCTCTCAATCTGAAAAGCAAACAATTTGATTGCAGAAGTTCCCAGGTCCTGTCCCCTATTTTGAAGATACTACTACAAGACTGAGAAGAATTCTGTATGCGGAGTCACAACAGAGAATACCCTGCCTGAAGTGGATCCAGAACAGAGCCATTTGGTTATTAACAGAAGAAAATCTGAGTCCAGTAGCATCTTAATGACCAACCAAAATGTCCAGGGCATAAGCTTTCATGAGTTAAAGCTCACGTCATCTGAGGAATGGATCTTCTGAAACCTTATAGGCCCATTCTGCATCTAGGACTCGCTCCGCTGTTTTACCAAACCCTTGTTGGAACAGAAATCCCCCTCTACATTGCATGCTACTTTCACTTTGATTGATTGTCAGATTTTATGGTAGCCTCCACACTGCCTGCCAGTTTCACTTCTTTTGATCTCTTTGTTTTATGGTACTGTCTGCATAGATTTATGGCCATTTTATGGCCATTCAGGGGCAATGTTCCCTCTAAGCTGTGGAGTCTTGTGAGCAAAACGTGTACTTTGTGAGCGAATGGCATTAAAGTTGTGAGCGAGCCATTTGGCTGCCGCATAAATTAGTTTGCTCTGGAGCCCTCCTTCCTGAGCGAAGACAAAAATGTGTGAGCCGGAGGCTAAAGAACTATGAGCTAGCTCACACTAACTCAGCTTAGAGGGAACACTGTTCAGGGGTGACTCTGCAGTCAGTATGGCGTTGGCCCGGGGTATCTGAATGTGGTTTTGAGCCGCATCTTTCTCTGTTCCAGTGTGGGTTTGGCAAAACAACGGAGCGAATGCTAGATGCAGAATGGGCCATACCCTGGAAAATTTTGTTGAAGATGCCAATGGGATTCATATTTTGATCTACGGCTACAGATCTAACATGGCTACCCACCATTGGCTATTAACAGATGCGCATCATGCTGATCATAAAGAGTAATTAATTTCCTAGAGCCTTTGATGAGAAGCAATGTTGGCCTTGGGTTTAGGCTTGCCAACAGGCCTAGAGAAAAATGTCTTGCCCCTTTAAATAGAAATGTAATGTGCAGAATGGGCAGCTGGAGGCTTTCAGGGCTTGGAGGTAAATAACATCCATTTAAGACCATGTTTAAGGAAGAGCACTGTCGTCGTCCCCCTGCTCCAGACTAGTTACAGCAAGTTATCATTTTAGAGTTTCAACTGTTGCTTTCTGACTGTTACAGGTGTGTGTGCCCCCCCCCCCCGTTTTGCTTCTTTTGTTTGGTCTTACTTTACTTTGGAGATATTAATATGGTTTGCATTTTTCTTAACAGTGTTGAACTTGAGTTGTAAAACAAAACGGGGGGAAAGAAATGTTTTGACTTTAAACAGCTTGAAAGGGAGAAGTCTATCAATACCTACTAGTCATGATGACTGAGGGGAACCTCCACAGTCAGAGGCACTAAGCCTTTGAATCCCGGCGCCAGGAGGAAACACCAGGGGAAGGCCTCGGCCTCTCTGCCCTGTTGTTGGCCCTCCAGAGGAACTGGTTGGCCACTGTGTGAGACAGGAGGCGGGACTAAGTGAACTACTGGTCTGATCCAGCAGGGCTCTTCTTAATGTTCTCATGACTAAGTACACGCTAATGCTGCACAATCACTTCCTGCACTCTGGAACCCGACCTCTGTCAATGGTGAAGGAATCTGCCCATTTCATGCATGGAACACGGCATTTCCCCACATTCCTCTCTGTTCCTGTAGTGCCTTCCAGTCCCTGGAAAGAGTATCCCCAGGGATGTGGGATCCATGTGGAGGAATCGCCACATTGGGGGGGGGGGGAGGACTGAGGAAGGACAGGGAGGTGAAATTGCTCCTCCTTTTCTCTTCCGCAAGTGCAAGTCCACTGAGGCAAGCAATCTCATCCCTTTCTCTCCCTCTTGCCCAAACAGCTATTCCTTCATACAGAACTCTGTCAGGGAGTTCTTCCCAATGTTTACTCTTTTGATTTCATTTCAATCCATTGGTTCTGGTCCAACTTTCTGGAGCAACAGAAAACAACTCTGCATCTTTATTAGATTTTTTTTTTTTAAATACCAGTTTCTGGCAACCAGTTTTCCAAATTTGCGTGAATTTTTAAAGACAGTTTTACTTTCTCCAGAACCTCCACCTGTTTAGTACATGAAGCTGCCTTATACTGAATCAAACCCTTGGTCCATCAAGTTCACTATTGTCTACTCAGACGGGCAGCGGCTCTCCTAGATCTCAGGCTGAGGTCTTTCACATCACCTAGTACATAGACCCTTCAACTGGAGATGCAGGGGATTGAACCTGGGATCTTCTGCATGCAAAGCAGAGGTTCTTCCACTGAGCCACGGCCCCTCCCCAACTATGCTTCTGCTACAGGCAGCCACATAATCAACAAAACCCACGCCATTCTCCAAAAGCCTGTTCTGCCTGTGTACCAAACAATCCCCAACACAAACCAGTGTGGTGTAGTGGTTTAGGGTGTTGGACTAGCACCTTGGAGACCCACTCTGCCGTGGAAGTTTGCTGGGTGACCTTGGGCCAGTCACACGCCCTCAGCCTAACCTACCTCACAGGGTTGTTGTGAGGGTTAAATGGAGGCAAGGAGAATGACCTAAACTGCCTTGTGTCCTGAAGTACCAATCTGGCATTGCAATGTGGCTGATTCCTTGCCCGCAGCAAGGAGTCACAATGAGGGAGCTGGAAGTGTTTCACCTGCCCCAAACCTAGCTCAGAGAGGTGAAGCCCCAACCCAGAGGGAAAAGTCCTCTTACAACAAACCATGTCCTTCAAAAGAGAGCCAGGAGGTCCTCTCGATGCCAATGATGCGTTCCAATTAGCAAAGGGCTCTGCCTTTAGCAAAGGGCTCTGCCTCCAGCAAAGGGCTCTGCCTCGCTGTGAAGAGATCCTAAAACCCTGCCATGTTGTAGCAAGAGGAGGGCAATGGATGCTAATGCATGGCAAGAGTGCTAATAACTATTTTTTTTTAAGGTTTCCTAAATGTATTTGTTTTTTTAAACCCAAGGGAAGACTTACCCAGACCATCCATATTGGCAAAAGCCTCTAGCATGATTTCAATCTGCAGGTCTCTTTGGTTTGAATGCAGAAAAGCCCCTTCCTCCTCCTCCTCACGATAATACTCCGCAAGTTCCTCAAAGGACTCCGGACCCTGAAAGAGAAGGGATAGATAGATAACAAAATACTTCTTTCCCTGCTAAGTACAATTACAAAGGGTCGTTCCGGCAAAGAGGCTGAGGGGATCTCTGGTGGCATTCTGGTGTAGTGGTTAGGAACGCAGACTCTAATCTGGGAGAACCGGGTTTGATTCCCCGCTCCTCCACATGCAGCTGCTGGTGCGACCTTGGGACAGTCACCAGTTCTCTCAGAGCTGTTCCCTCAGGAGCAGTTCTCGAAAGAGC